CGGGTGGAGCAACGGCAGGCAGGGTCACAGCTCTTGGTATAGTTGCGATGAGATGGGAGGAGGGCGTTACAGAGATTTTGCGCGCACGCCCCAGTGCGCCGACCATGTATCTAGCCTGGAAGCTCTGAGCGCACCCAACGCCACAGGCGCGCGCTCAAGGTTCGACAACAAGGCTTTACTCAATGGACAGCGCCTTGCGTCGCAACAAAACTCATGCTCGCGGCCGCGGCAACAGCTCGCCCCCGGCCTGGGCCAGACCTCTGGGGCAAGCACGCAAGTACCAAAACGAAATCACTTCGCTCATCTACGCGATGCCCTAGTGCCTTGACCTCTTCTTGGTGGAGAGATCGAACACTGGCCGGTGGTCAGCGCCTGCGACGTTCGCGCGGACCGTCCGCAGGATCTCCTCCTGCGCCGCCGACGGCCCGCGCCGGCGTCTGCGCTCTACTGGCGCGTCTGGCACCTCGCCCGAAAAAGTTGTAAACTCCCGCGCGAGATGCCGCTGCCACGACGCCTGATCGAACACTGCGACCGCGGACGTTGCCCCCGACTTAAAGTCGCAATGCCAAACTCGCACCGTGGTGCGCGCGCCGAGAGCCTCATCTCTTTCATTTTCTGGTTTCCGCTTTCCCCTCCTGCTCGTCCTCGTCTGGTCTTCCTCCTCGTCGCCAACCCCCCATGCTCCTCCTCTTCCAAGTCCCGCGTATCCCTCATACTTCCTCCTCCTCCTTGTCCTCCTCCTCCTCCTGAGTGAGGAGGAGGAAAAGGATAAATGAGTGGGAGAAAAATGACGCCAGATTGAAGAAGCGAGGGGATAAGGTCCTGCAACCCAGGCGATCAGGAACCCCGGAAAAAACAAACCCCGAAACCTTCGAATTCTTACAAATCCGCGTTCAGGACCCCAGGGCCTCCACAACAGGGCCTCCACAACCCGAAATCCAGGCGACCAGGAATCCCGAAAACTCTGGACCACCAAAACTTCATAATTTTTTTTAAAAATTTCAAAATTTAGCAAATTTTAAAAAGCTTTTTCATTTTTTTTTAAACCTGTAAAACATAAAATATCCCAGGGCCTCCACATCCCGAAATCCAGGCGACCAGGAATCCCGAAAACCCTGGACCTCCAAAGCGTTTTTTTATATTATTATTTATATATATATACTATATAAAGTCGAAAACCTTTTTTTTATTGAAACAAAATCTTTTTTCTCTTTTTTTTATTTTAAAAAATCCATATAATATATATATATATATAATATATATGATTTTTTGTATAAACTTCACAGATGCCAGGGCCTCCACAACCCGAAATCCAGGCGACCAGGAATCCCGAAAACTCTGAGGACAAGTCTTGGGGACTCCGCGATTCCATTGAGCCCCTCAGATCCAGGGAAGAGGAATAGGAGGAGGAAGAGGAGGAGGAAGGGGAGGAGAAGGGGAGGGAGGAGGGCCGTTCGAGCTCCCAAGATGGTATCCCCTCCTGGTCGTACGTACCCCCCCCCCCTCCCCCGTAAAGGGTTTTTATCCCCGCCCCCTCAAGCGAGGCTCGCGTAAGGGTTTTCGAGGCGTGGGACTGCCGTGGACGTCCTCTTCTTCTTCTTCTTCCTCCTCCGTCTTCCGCGTGGTCATTTTTGAAATCTGCATCTGGAGGAATTCGTTTGTAATCAGCCAAAGACGGAACCCTTTTGTATTTCGCTCAAAGAGGAATTCCTTTGTGGCGCAAGGGGGTGGGTCTGGGCGACGAAGAAAGACAAACAATACAAACCAGACAACATTGCGTTTTGAATTAAAACATGGCTTTGCATCACACGCATAACAGCACAACAAAGACCAGATGGGAGCACGGAGCACCAGTGTTTTCACAGTGTTTGAGCAGATGTTGAGTGTTTTTTTTTTGTGTGTGTGTGTGTTTTGTTTTCAGTAAAAACCAAGTTGGCATTAAAAACGTAGCGTTTTGGGTCTACCATATTGTTTTGTTTTGTCTTTTTGTTTTTTTTTCCTTCGCCCAGGCGCATCACCCGCTCGGCGCAAGGGGGTTGGGCCTGGGCGACGAAAAGACAAGCACAGACAACAAAGACAAAAACAACAATCTGGGAGACCAAAGCCGCTTATACACAGACAGTCTGGAGGCAAGGAGCACCTGTGTTTTCACAGTGCTTGAGCATTTTTTACCAAACAACATGATACCGGAGATAAACAACCAATCCGATTTTTTATGGCTATAGGGCTATAGGGCTATCGGGTTATAGGGCTATAGGGCTATCGGGCTATAGGGCTATAGGGTTATGGGGCTATAGAGCTATATGGGCGATGGGGCTGTAGGGCTATAGGGATATAAGGCTATTAGGGCTATAGGGATATAAGGCTATATGGCTACAGGGCTATAGGGCTATACGGCTATAGGGCTATAGGGCCATAGGGCTATTGGGCTATTGGGCTATTGGGCACCCCCGGGCTTCCGGGCACCCCCGGGCACCCGGGCACCCCCGGGCACCCGGGCCCGGCCACCGAAATCGGCCACGCACCTCGCCGGCCACCCGGGCACCCGGGCCCCGCCGGGCACCCAGGCACCCGGGCACCCGGGCCCGGCCACTGAAATCGGCGACCAACCTCACCTGACCCTTAATCCGCTAGGACCCCTACAGAGGCAAGCTCTGATTGGGGAAAATATCAAAACGCTGTTTAATTGAAAACGCCGCGTTAGTGGTCTCCCAGATTGGGTTTTTGTTTATTTTCCTTTTTTGTCTTTCTTGTCTTTTGCGTCGCCCAGGCCCACCCCCTTGCGCCGAGCGGGCGATGCGCCTGGGCGACGAAAAAGATACAGAAAGACAGGCAAAACACAAACGACAAGCTGGGAGACAAATTCTTTTTTTTTTGTTTGCTTTTTTATTTTTTAATTTATATATATGTATATATATACATCAAACATTTATTTTAAAGAGACTTTTTATCAAAGCACAGAAAGGACTATCCGAAACTGCTCAATCACTGTGAAAACACCGGTTTTCCGTGCTCCCAGATTTTTTGTTTTCCATAGCAGCCGTTTTCAATTAAAACACAGCGTTTCTGGTTTCCCAGATTATCAGTGTTGTCATTTTTTGTTGTTGTTGTCTTTTTCGTCGCCCAGACTCACCCCCTCGCGCCACAGCGGAATTATTCTATAGCGGAATACAAAAAGGGTTCCTTCTGTGGCTGATTACAAACGAATTGCGGAACAATGCAGAGGACTTTGGAGCGTTACCCTGGTTTGCAACAGTGCTTGTCTGACTCGCTTCGTTACATCCGTTGGAACTCGCCATCCGCGGCCCCCTCTTGGGGCCCGCGTGCCGTTCGCGACTTCAACGCGCGGCAGACATGCAGTCGCCAATGCGACTCGCAAGCTCATTATCTCCGGCGTGTGAATTTCTCTGACATGCGGACACGACTCACGATGGAGGCCCGCGAGTTTCTCTGCTGGCAGCCTCATTCAGAGGACGGCGGCCATTATTTCGCCGTGGCAATTCTAGAGGACGGCATGCTCTCCGTCATGGATAGTGCGATTGGTCAGATGATCGGCATGCTGCCGCTCGAATTTTGGATGGCTTGGCTCCGGGTGGATCGACTTGTGTTTTTCGCCTTGGAATTTTGGTCGGCGGGGCGTCTGCTTGCCATGGACGACGAGGCTCCAGGCCACCCAACTGAGGTCCGAGTGGGAGTCGGGAAATCGCACCGAATCGCCGATGCATCGGCGATGCGGCTCGATGTGGAACCCCAATTTCTCCGCGCCGACGTCGCCGATACCTCGCCGACGCCGCCAGTGCATCGCCGATGCATCGGCGATGCATCGGCGATGCGGCGCGATCCTCCGACCCCATCTACTCGCACCCCATTTGGGAGTTTTCCATAGGCGCGCGACCATTCCGGCGGGGGGAAGGATTCTTATTTGGCGAAGACGCCCAAGGAGCTTGTGGCGATGATGGAGCAAGAAGCCGACGCTGCCTTATCAGTCCCCAGCGGCGCAGAGAGCGCCGCCGCAGCCAGGCGAGATGATGCATGGCACTGCCCATTATGTCCTTTCAAAACTTTCCAGCGGAAGCGGTTTTTGGTTGATCATGCGAACAATTATTATCACATTGGAATAAGCTCGTGTGGCGCATTGAACAAGCAGATGCGCGTGATCCATGCGCTGTGGAACCAATCGGTTTTATTATGAGCGCTCTGTAAGAAGACTCTGGGCATCGAGCAGAGGCGAGCCTGGTTCCCCTTCGCTGCTTTCGCAGGGTGCTGATCTCATTCGGATCGGGCGCGTGGAGTGCGCGTCCTGGGGCGACGTCGAGCACAAGCTAAGGGAGACCGACTCCGATCGACGCGCGGTTCTCTTGCTCGACTCCGGCGACCGCGCTCGTTTCGTTCTGGGCGATGGCGCAGCGCATTGCCATCGAGTCGGTGAGCATTGCCGCTGCGCCAATGATTTCTTTGCGACGATCTAGGCCGCTTTCCTTCACCCGGACACCGGGGGGTCCAAGAAACGAGCTTGGGCTCGCGCAAAAGACGTTGTGGGTTTCATTCGTTATCTTTTCCCAGACTATTCTAGTATTCATTTGGCGCTCGTGGAAAGATTACCGAGCAACCGCGGCATCAAAAACGTGATTGTAAAGTGCCGCGAGGACGCAGACAAGATTGTCATTGGCATTGACGGTCAGTACTCCGCCCTGCTTTCTGCATTGCGCCGGGCGCAAGAGGGACTCCTGGAGGTTAGCGAGCGCCAGTCGCGCGCCAACGCCGCTCCTGGCCAGACAAATCCCGGGCCCGGGATCTGCGCGCGGGCCCCCTGGCAGTGCAGGGGGGCGCGCGCGCCGATGCTGGGCCCAGGTGCGGCGCGGCCGCGATCGGCGTCGTCGTTCGGTTGTCGTCTCCTGAGGGGGCGATGGAAAGCAAGGCGTCCACGTCCAGCTCTCTGTTCAATGCATGGATTCAGTCCTCCCGGCAAAGCGCCTTCCGATGCGCCCGCGCACGCGCAGGGGGCGCTGCCGGAAGCCGTTGGCAACGGGAACGGCGCGAAGCAGGCGCGCCTGATATGTTCTGATGCACCCGTCTCTTTCGAGGGGGCCGCCCTCCGCGCCGCGTTTCCGCGGCTGCGCTGCCTCGCCGAGGGCCCGTTGCAGATCGCCCTGAAGGTCGAGCAGGCGTCCGGCGAGAAGCCCGCCCAGCTGTCGAACGTCATCAGCCGATGCGTCGTCAAGTTCTCGAAAGGCCCGGGCGATGGCAAGCCGTGTTTCCGCGGGCGGCGGCGGCGGGCGAGTCTGCAGTCATTGGGCGACGACATCTCTTCGCTCTTGGACGCTGCTGCGGCGCGCCGGAAGTCGGCGACCCAGGCTGATGGCAACCCCGAGCGGCCGCGCCGCAACGCTGCAGCCTTCGTCAAAGACATTGCCGCTGCGCGCAAAATGTCCCCGCGGGAGATGAGCGAGATTGCCGCCCAGAGGGCCCGCCGCGAAAATTAATATACAGACGCCCGCCGGCGGTTCCCCCCGCCCCTCCAGGGGGTGCGGCGGCGCGCAAATTCGGCAAATCTGTTGTTGCTATCTGCGCGCTGCATTCTTTCCCCAGAAGTCCGCAAAAAGGTCTCGTCGGGTGGGCGTCAGCGTATAATTTTTTTGGCGGAGAGGACTGCTGCCCTCGGGGGCCTGCGATGCGCGATCTCGCCCGCGCAGCTTTGGGCTTCCCTTCTGAACCTTGGTGGCGTCGCTGCGCGAAACCATGGCGTCCAGGTGATGTGCGGACTTACTGGGAACGAAGTTTTGCGCGTGCAATTAAAAGCATTTGTCCGTAACGTGCTTACTTGAACTGAACGCAACGCGCGTGCAATAAGTTCAATCTGCACGTTCGCAAAGCTCCTGGCGGGATGGGCCAAGAAGAGTTTGCCCCTCACGATGGGGACGCCAAGAGCGCGAGCTGCTCCAGGCTGCCCTGCGCCCCTTCACCCAGAGCCCGCCAGAATAATCGCCCAAGTTGCGCTTGGCAGCTCACGCGAACCCGCGCGTCGACGTCGGCCGCTTGCCTCCCGGCGCCAAAGTTTTGCGCAAGAGGCCGGCGGCCGCCGTGGCGGCGCGCCGTCTGCGAACGCGGCCTGCCTCCATAGCCTTTTCTTGAGCTGCCCATGGCGTTGATCATGGCACTTTCCCTGCTTGCGACAGTACAGAATTGCACCGGCGCTGTTCGCCAATAGTTAATTTGCGCCGTTTCGTTCACCAATCATTGATCTTTGCTTACGTTTGTGCGAATTGCCACTCATCTGGACGTAGCAAAACCAAAGGTGTTCGCAAAGCAAGCGAAATTGTAGCAACAACGCAAGTTTGAGGGGGCGGTGATAAAACCTCCCCCCTTCCCCTCCTCCTCCTCCTCCTCCTCCTCCTCCTCCTTTTCCTCCTCCTCCTCCTCCCCCTCCTCCCTCCTCCCTCCCTCCTCCGTCCTCCCTCCTCCCTGCTCCCTCTTCCCTCCTCCTCCTCCTCCTCTTTCCTCGCCCTTCCGACGGCGGCGCGACGAGCGGCGGCGCGGCGAGCGGAGCGGCGGCGAAGGGCCCCCCCGCGCGGCGCAGGCCTTGCAGTTCTGGCAGAGGCAGGCCGGGGGCGAAAGCCTTGAGGAGGCGCTCCACGGCGGCCTGCGCGCCTGGGTGGACTGGAGCCTGCCCCCCCCAAGGGGTGCTGCTGCTCTTCCTCCTCCTCCTCCTTCCTTTCCCCCCCTCCTCCTCCTTCTCCCTCCTTCCTCCTCTCTCCTCTCTCCTCCCTCCTCCTCCTCCCTCTTCCCTCCTCCCTCTCCCCTCCTCCTCCCCTTCCCTCCCTCCTCCCTCCTCCCTCTTTCCCCCTCCTCCTCTTCCTCCTCCTCCTCCTCCTCCTCCTCCTCCTCCTCGTCCTCCTCCCCCCCCCTTCCTCCTCCTCCCTCCTCCTCCTCCTCCTCCTCCTCCTCCTCCTCTCCTCCTCCTCCTCCTCCTCCTCCTCCTCCTCCTCCTCCTTTTCCTCCTCCTCCTCCTCCTCCTCCTCCTCCTCCTCCTCCTCCTCCTCCTCCTCCTCCCTCCTCCTCCTCCTCCTCCTCCCTCCTCCTCCTCCTCTCCTCCTCCCCCCCCCTCCTCCTCCTCCTCCTCCCCTCCTCCTCCTCCTCCTCCTCCTCCTCCTCCTCCTCCTCCTCCTCCTCCTCCTCCCTCCTCCTCCTCCTCCTCCTCCTCCTCCCCCTCCTCCTCCGCCTCCTCCTCCTCCTCCTCCTCCTCTCCTCCTCCTCCTCCTCCTCCCTCCTCCCTCCTCCTCCTCCCGCCTCCCTCCTCCCTCCTCCCTCCTCCCTCCTCCCTCCTCCCTCCTCCCTCCTCCTCCTCCCTCCTCCCTCCTCCTCCTCCTCCTCCTCCTCCCTCCTCCCTCCTCCCTCCTTCCTCCTCCTCCCTCCTCCCTCCTCCTCCTCCTCCTCTTCCTCCTCCTCCTCCTCCGCCTCCTCCGGGCGGCGGCGGCGCCAGCGGCGAGGGCACGGCGGCTCGAATGGGGTGGGCGACGAGGGGGCGGCGACGCCTGCGGCGCGAAGGACAGCGGCGCGAGCGACTGCGGCGGCGGGGGAGCGGCGGCGGCGGGGGCGCCGTTGACGTCCCCCCCCTCCTCCGCCTCTTCCCCCTCCCTCCCCTCCGCATATGTACATTCTGCATACTGCTCTCCTTTCTCCTCTGATGCCGTCCGGAAGATATTCGGCCCCCCACCGCGTATAGTTTTTTAGACAGGACTCCCAGGAACCGGGTTTTCGTTTTTTTGTTTGGGCTTCATTTCCTGGTTTTCACATGTGTTTTTGTACTCCGATTTGTTCGGTCTTCCAAAATGTTGCTCCCGCTGCAGCGCTGGCCCCATTTCTGCGCCTCTGGTTGTTTCAAAACGTGCTCCCGCTGCAGCGCGGGCGTGTTCGGTCCTTCAAATCGGCCCCACTTCTAGGAAAATACCTTTAGAAAATGCGTCGCAAGTGAGATTACACATCCGGTGCCGATTCGTGAATTTTTGGGCCGCAGAAGGCCCCCCGCACTTCGGGGCGGCGGCGTTTGGAGGAAGTATCAAGCGGGAGCCCCGTTTCTGCTTTCAGAAGGCGATGTTGCAAGCAGAGCCGGCGGTTGCTCTCCATCAGCCCCGCCTTGTGGGGAGCTTGTCGCGGAGCCCAGGGAGCTAAACATGGAGCCGCGACTGCAGTCCGGCCCCGACCTTTCGAAGACGATCCACTTACTCTCCAAGGAACCTGGTGCCCTGCCATGACATGCTGTTCGGTGTTCAGTTCTGCGCCGCTGTGCGATGCCATGCTTTGCGTTGCAATGCTTTGTGATGCAATGCTTCACTACGCAATGCCACGCCTTGCTATGACATTCTACGCTCTGCCGTGCTCTTCTACGCCATGCCATGTCGTGCTCTACGATGCATCGCGCATCCTCTCGCGTTCATTGCCCTGCGCGACATCCGATTGTGCGAATAAAGACGAGGTCTACGCCATGGGAAAGGATGGGAGGGAGGGGTAGGACGTCAGATCTGACGCGGGCGTACCTAGCTTGCCTCCCCTCCCCTCCCCTTTCCCCCAATCATTCCGCTTCCCCCTCCCCTCCCCTTCCCCTCCCCGTGCCCTTCCCCTCCCTCGCTCCATACCTCCCCCCCTCCGTCCCAGCGCGCCCCCTCCGCCGACGCGAGGAACGTGCTGGGCACCTGGGGGCACATGCGGCAGAGCGCGCGCATCGTGCTCGCGTTCACGGGCGCGTTCATGATCGGGCGCCGCCCGTTCTTGGGGTGGCGAGGGAACGGGGGGCATGAAACCCTGGAGGGAACAAGGGGGAGGAGGGCGCCTCCTCTCGCCCGCTCTTCGTGACAAGTAGTTGCAATGCGCAATGCTGCGGGGGGGATTGCGGTGACGGGCCCGAGTCGGGAAAAGAGAAACCGAAAAGGATGAAAGCAAGGAGGCAAGCGGCAAGCGGTGGGGGGAGGAGCGCGGGAGAGGCGGCGGGGAGGGGAAGAGAGGGATGGGCCAGGCAGGAGGGGAGGCGAAGGGGCGGGAAAGGGCGGGGAGGGTGGAGGGAGGGCGAGTAAGATAGAAGGATGAGCGAGGACGGATGATGATGATAATGATGATGCTGCTGCTGATGATGATGCTAATGTTAATGATGTTAAAGATGATGACGATGTTGATGATGATGACGATGATGTTGATGGTGGTGATGATGATGCTGATGATAATGATAATGCTGATGGTGTTGGCGATTATGCCGAATATAATGATAATGCTGATGATGCTGATGCTGCTGATTTGATGATGGTGCTGGTGGTGATGGTGATGATGGTGGTGGTGGTGATGATGACGATGATGATGGTGATGGTGATAGGGAAGTGGATGATGCTGATGATGACACTGCTGATGATGCTGGTGATGCTCATGACGATGCTGATGATGCTGATGCTTGTGATGCTGATGCCGATGATGATGATGATGATGATGATGATGATGGTGATGCTGAAGATGGTGATGCTGCTGCTGATGGTGTTGATGAGGCTAACGGCGATGACGATGGCGATGGCGATGGTGATGCCGCTGACGTTGATGCTGATGCTACTGCTGCTGCTGATTGTGATGATGATGCTGATGCTGATGATGATGCTGACGATGCTGATGGCGATGCCGATGGCGATACCGATGTTGCTGATGATGCTGATGATGATGTTGATGATGATGATGATGCTGTTACTGATTTTGATGATGATGCTTTGTACGAGTATGCGGATGATGGTGATACTGCTGAGCATGATGCTCATGGTGATGATGCCTGTGCTGATGTTGACGATGCCGATGACGATGACGATGATGGCGACGACGATGCTCCTGATGATGATGAGGCTGATGC